TGTGAAGGCATAGAAATATATTGACCTGGTATACTGTGAGAGTTTAGTATGAAAATATCAATATCTTGTGATAAAAGAATGCATGTGATTGAGTACTTATATATGGAATTAGAGGAGTACTCAGTTACTGGGTCAGAAAGAGCCAGGTGAGACCAACTTAGGAGTTGGAAATGTATACAAAAACCTGTGTAGAAATACTAAGATTTAAAATCTCTACCTCAAGAAATATACTTTGGGCATTAATGTGGAGAACGGATTGGAGGTAGCTCTGACATGGGGAAGAGAGAAAAACTGAGCTGTTTCTTTAATCCAGGTAACTAATAAACCAAAGCAGACATGGTTTAGAGGGGAGAGCAAGGACCTGAGCAATATTAAACATCCAATATCTAGAGGACTGGGGATTCGGGTGCTTTTGGGAATTAGAGAAAAGTCCAGTAACTAGTACTTTATTTCTTAGCTCAAGTTCTCAAGCAATTAAGAACTAAGATTGAAGGCAGGAGATCAAAATGTCAGCTCTCTATGGATAAAGCGAATACTGGAGAAAATGTCCTGTCTCTGTACACAAGTGGTCTTCTAAAGTGTGAAACACAGCAATCAACAGACTCTGTAAGTCATAACCTGTGCCTGGAAACTGTCAGACCTCCCTGTGTGAAACTATAGCAAGGAAGAGATCTTATCCTTCTATAGCTAGTTAGCTCCAAAAAGAAAAGAGGAAATGAGGGATGAAGTATGTATGCTCAGGTTCTCCTCGTAAACTCACCAATTCACAGTTGCTCATCCTTCCCCTGGGAAGCAATGAACAAGATGGTGAAAAGACTAGGAATGTTAGGCTACCAGGGTCAGTCTACATGAAAAGAGAGACTAAGATGAAGGAAAAAGTGTTCTGCTGCAACAGAGGTGAACTAAAATGAGGAGTGGATTGATGAGTAGGTGATTTTGCTATTCTCTGAGATCAGATAGATAAGATACTTAAGAGAAGGCAGTTTGTGGAGAGAAAAAAAAAATCTATCCCCAAATAGAAAATCAATGACAACAGTCCAAAAAAGCAGACCCTAGCAGGACCAACAGCCCGTCCTCCTACAGTTGGATATATTCACATCTAAGTCACTCAACAAAAATAAGAATCCAATTAAAGGTGAAAATGATCACTTCTCACAGAAATCTGATGCATCCAACATTAGTATAAAATTTGAAAAAAAAATAAAAGGGCCAATCATTTATTTTGAATGCTGATAATTTTGAAGATCTTTAATTATCTAATTGAATCAGAAAAAGAAAAATCCACTAAACTTGATGAAAAATTAGTTTAAAATAAAGTTACAATGAGATCATACATCGCTTCTGAGGGAATTTGCTAAGAACTA